TATTTATAAAGTACTTTATATAACTTATATTATTTAATTATTATTAATAATATTTATAAACCTCTTAGTAAAATATACTTTTAGTTTATTATTAATAATAATACCTATAGGCTTTTTAATAAAGTATATTTTTAGTTTATTATTAATAATAATACTTATAGGCCCTTTAGTAAAATATATTTTTAGCTTATTACTAATAGTAATATTTACAGGCCCTTTATTATAACCCAACTCTTAAGGTTGCGACAATGGGCCAATAGGTTGGCCAAAACCGGATTAACTATAGGCCGACAGGCCAATCAGGACTGTTGGCATTCCCTAACAGGAAAGCTAGGAAAGCTAGCTTTCCAAATAATCCACCATAGGAAAGCTAGGAAAGCCAGCTTTCTAACACAATCTAGAATACACAACTAGATATATAAGTCTATTTTATATCACTTATTAAAATACCTAGATAACCAGTTATTATCACAGCGTTTATAATACAATCAGATTGGAACTTAGACATCTACTTTTATTTATATTACTAGCTGGTGATAAGATTACTTATTTACTGACTTAATTACTTCGCTAACATAAACCATAGAACCACTCTAAGGTTTATCCCTTAGAAACAGCTAACCTATAGTACCTATAGGACCTAGTTTATTATATAATAATAACTCTTGTTTAGACGGTCACCTTAGACCTATGGGTAATAAAACACTAGGAACTTAGCAGCTTATAAGCTTCAGAGTTCTAGATAATAACACTAATTACAAAAGCGAAGCTTAAAGTAATTATAACAGCGACATTAAGCTTAAAGACATACTAGCCGAAAACATAGCTAATTAAGCTAATTATAATAAATTAAAGGCCGAGTTTAAAGCTCTTAAGACCTAGCTTTAGGACCTCTAAGATAGGAAAAGAGAGAAGGGTAAGGTTATTAAACCGACGAAGCCTGAACCCTTTAACAAAGATCTACGCAAGATGGACAAATTCTTCTCAGAACTTATAACCTATTTCAAATACTTCCCTCGTACCTTAAAGGATAACGAAGACAGAGTTATCTTCACAGGCAGCTGCCTTATAGGAGACGCCAAAACATAGTTCCGACCTATTATACAGAATTACGAGGAAGGAAAGATTAATTTAAAAAAGCTTAAAACGTAAACCGAAGAAATCTATACTAAGTATATGGAATTTTAGGAATAACTTAGAAAGTCTTTTAGTATTGTAGATAAATAATAAGAAGCTAAGTAAGAACTTTATTTTATTACTTAAAAAGGACTACTAAGTAAGTATACTTTAACTTTCCTATGCTTATTAACTAAAGTTAACTAGACTAAGGAAATAAAGAAGGAAGTTTATTATAATAGTATAAAACCTAAAGTTAAGGATAAACTCTTTAAAATTAACTGTAAAAAGATAACCTTTACTAACTATACCTAAAAAGCTATTAAGATCAATAATTACAATTAGGAATAACAGAAAGAACGGAAGTAAGAAAAAAACGGGAACTTCTATAATGTCTAACCTAAGTAAACTTAAGAATACTAAGCTAACTAAGGAAAAAAATAAAATAATTATATTACCTCTTTTAACAATAGACAACCAGGCCTAATAGACCTTAGCACCATTAAGGCTTAACGTAAGAATGTTAAATACTATAACTACGGAGAAAAAGGATATATAAAAAAGTACTATTAAAAGCCTGCTAAAAAGATAGGAAATAAAAAATTCACACCTATCCCAAAGCCTAAGGAAAACTAAGCTATTAATACTATATAACCTTTAGAAGACTATAATATCCTATACTTCTTAGCGTACTATAATAATAACTATTAGACCTATTATAGTAATAAATAAGGATTAGGATAGTACCCCAAAGGGCGTATATAAACCTTAAACACGCTTAAAGAAGTCACCCAGGAGGACCTCAGCTACGTTAAACAACTCGTTTAATAAAACCTCGACGAGTAAGAATAAAACAACAAATTCGAGGATAAGGAAGAGGTACTCTAAGAATGGAAATAAAATAAAGCTATACGCTAGTATAATAAGGATCTTTTAGATATAGCGCCTCTAACGTAATATAACCCTTGCGAAGGAATACCTTAGGAAGAAATCAACGACCTTAAGAAATATATATATAACTAATGTAAGTCAGTGGAACCCAAAAGCATCTACCACCCCTGTAAAATAACTATAACGGACTAGGAATAATACGAAGATTGATATAGAATATAAAGTGTTATTAAAGAAAATAAACGCTATAATGAAATTGTATAACAGAAGGAACTTAAGGACCACCAGAAGCTCCTTAAATAATAGGGATAGATTAAATAAATTAATCTAAGTACTACTTACGACCGGATCTAATTACCTAGAAATTGGTTTTAATAATATATTAAGACTAACGCAGATAAATACTTAATAGCTAAAATATTAGAATTAATCCTATACTACGTTAATAATATCCTACTTACTAACTAATATAATAAAGCTAATATTATTAACTATAAGCTACTACTATATAAATAATATATTATAACTAAGCTTAATGAATAACATAAGGATCACAGAGCTACCAAATGTAGACAAAAGGAATTTACGCTCTGTAATAAAGACCGTTGTAAGAAATACTAGTACTAACGCTGAGCCCTTATATATATTACCTATAACCTAGAATAGTAAGGATTTAACCTTATGAAGTATAGTAACGACGATGAGCTACGAGGAATCAGCTAGAACGACCTTCGGAAATACCATAAGCTTACTACCAGATATGTACCTAAGCCCGGATGTACCTAGTGCAAACGCTATAATATTTAAAATAAAGAACTAGGATAGATTACCTTAGACCTAGATAATATTAATATTAACCCTTACGGTAATAATTATTACGATGGCGCTGATGATGCAACCTACTATAACCTAAATACCTTTACAGAAGGAAAGAAACTATGAAAATTCCAAGTACTAAGCACCTTAGAAAAACATTTAATTATAGTCTACATAGACTCTGGAGCTATAATAAGCTATATTACGCCTTAACTAGTTAACTGCCTATAGTTAAATAACTATAAGAAGGAGAAACCATATACCCTTGCAAGCATTAAGAAATAATAATTTACCTATAATAACGGAACTGTTAACCGTAAGACTAATTTCCTTAAGATCTAGTTTAGTAAAATTAAGGATATATTTAGTTTTAATATTACTAATATTATAGGATATAATATACTCTTAGGATATAATTAGCTTAAGTTACGTAACCTTAACATTAACTAGATTAGAGGCTAGGTAAGGTGGTGAACTCGCCCTGAACTAATTGGTTTTAGAGATATACTATAATTAAATCAGGAGGATCGATAAGATACTATAACATCCCTAACAATAGGATCAGTAACCCCTATATTAAATAAAGAAATATAAAAATATATAGAAAAGAAAAAAGTTATAAAATAAGTATAATTTAAGGAGCTAAAGAAGCTTCTAAGAATAATCAAATATATTAAGAAACCTAAAAAGAAATAGCTTAGATTTCTGAACTTAATTATACGAAAGGTTAAGGAATTATATTACTAAGATTAACAGACACTAGAACGTTTAAAGAATGTACTAATAGACCTCTAGCATATACTAGTCTTTAACGAAGAACTTAACACCGGATTACTAAAATACAGCCAATAGGATCATAAGATTAAGCTTATAGATAATAAAGTCCTAACGTTTAATAAGATCTATAACCTAAGTACTACCAAACTTAAAATACTTAATAAATAGATTAGAGACCAGCTAAAGAAGGGCTATATTTAACTTTCTAAATCCTTAGCAGGAGCCCTAGTTATATTTATGCTTAAGAAAAATAGTAAACTTTAACTTATTATAAATTACTAATAATTAAATATAATAACTAAGAAAGATATTACGCTATTACTACTAATTTCGGAAATTAGAGATTGGCTTACAGGAGCTAAGGTCTTTACTTTATTAAACCTTAAAGGAGCCTATAACCTTATTTATATAAAAAAAGGCGATAAATGGAAAACCGCCTTTAGAACCAGATATGGATTATATAAATGTAATATTATATGGTTTAGATTAACTAACGCCCCTACGATATTCTAGAAAATAATCAACTACGTATTATAAGACTACGTAGATTATTTTATTATTATATACCTTAATAACATCTTTATTTATTCTAAGAACTTAGAAAAGTATAAGGAATATATTAAGAAGGTATTATAAATACTTTAAGATAATAAACTCCTGGTGGAACCTGAGAAATATAACTTTTATATACAGAAGGTTATATTCCTAGGATATATTATTACCCTAGGCAGAGTCTAGATGGACCCTGAGAAACTTAAGGTAATTAATGATTAGGAACTACCGCAGAATGTTAAGCAAGTATAAAGCTTTTTAGGACTTGCTAATTACTATTGACGTTTTATTAAGAACTTCTTAAAGATTGCTATACTACTTACGGACTTAATAAAGAAAGACGTTAAATTTGAATTAACACGAGATGCTTTAATAGCCTTTAAACGCCTTAAATAAGCTCTTATAAGTGCACTAGTACTTATAATGTTTAACCTAAATAAATCTATTATAATTAAAACTGACGCCTTGGATTATGCAATCGGTGGAGTACTTA